TTCTCAATTTATGATTGTATAATCTTGCTGTAAGAAGTGCTGTACAAGTGTGAATAATGCAAAATTTGAGGGTTCTATTCCTGGGAAATATGGATGAATCTAATGCAAAGGTGAGGTTATTCCTAGGTTGTATAGAAGCTGGCTCCACCTTACCTCTTCTAGATGATGTTCACGCGGTTATTTTTTTTTTTTTACTAGTTATGTACTTATGTTGCTTGAGTAGTGACATTATTCCATTATTTGAGTGCTGATAAATGATCTGAAACCTCTGTCCTAATTGGTTTTTCTGTACTGAGCCTGATCTAGATCAAGGAATCCTCACTTAAAGTCAACATTAAATTCAATTTAACTTTGTTTCGACTTTTTTAATGATCAATTATGCTGCTCTTCTATGATTATGGCAGTATGGCACATGATGTGCGAAACAGTTATGCAGGGTGCTATATGTAGGGCCAAATAGCTTAAGATTGAAAGCCATCAAGCAGAGTGAAGCATTGAAAGGGGTTGGGTAGCACATTCTCACGTTGGACTGTTATGAATAAGGGGGACGATTTTGCAGGGTTAGTGTGATATTTGTAAAGGTGGTGCAACTTAAAGTCACTACGCACGAAGTAATTCATAGGTTAGGGATGTAAATATAGTGCACATAGAAAATTATGGTAGATGACAAGTCCATTAGATGTGTATGCATGACTGGTAAGAAACAGAGACGGTTCTGATTAACTATGAAGCTACATGATCTTATTCAAATGGACTTAATTTTTTTTTTATTTAATTAATTCTCTTTAGTCTATAAATGTTCTGTAGAGTTCTCTTGTAGGTCAGCATTAGCTCATCGTGTTGCAACAATAAGCTTGTTGTATTGTGACTTGTTGGCGAAATTCTGGTTGTGTAAACAGCCTCCTCTTCTATCATGAGCTATGGATGCGCCCATCTGACTTACCCCATACCCTACAATGGAGGGACTGTGGGAGCCTCAGCCCTGTGCACTGTGTCTGTGCCACCCTTTATGACTTCCTGGTTGAATTTAAAAAAATTGTCAAATCTTGTGCTACGAATTCCTGTATTGCTTGAGGTTGATGATTTGTAAAATGTTGGATTATCCATTATTTATTGCTACTTTTAGAATTAAAATTGTGTCATATTTGGAGCCAAAGGGATCTCAATTTTGTCAAATTTTGTAGCACTCAGCAACTGCTTTTAGTGTTGCTTTTAGTCTATATTATTTGAAATATGATTTTACGATAATATATTTTGTTTATATTGTATAAAAAAGAGATTACTTTATAAATTGAATTATTAGAGAGGACAAGAAATGATTTATTTATATTATGTAGTTTTGATGTTTTATGGTGAATATCATCAAAATGCTTAAAGAGTATGAAATAGTAATAATAATAAACTTGTAATTTTAGTGTTCAAAATCTAGTTTATTCCTGAAAGTAATTTTATAGTATAACATCGACAATTATAAGTTATAATCTTTTTTTTTTGAGTAAAAACAAACCAAGTACGACCCATTCTAGAAAAAGCAACACACCGCATATCACACTGCAGACAGTTTTCACACTCGCTTGGAGGTTGTGTTGTATGAACAGTTGCAGGTTCAGGTTACAAGTGTGAGAGTAGGAAGCCAACCAATCTGCTACAGCATTCCCTTCCCTGTAAATTTGAGCAACCTTAACCACATCAATTGTTTGCAGCGAAGCACAAGATTATAATATGGATGATGTTCGGAGCATCCATTGGTCATCTCACATCAATTGCCACGCGGGAGTCTCCTTCCACATACAACTTTCGGTAGTATCGGTACCACATCTTCCATGCTAGGTTCAACCCCAAGAACAACCGCAAAGACCAGTTTCCATCCTTGTGAATGCTCATATCATATCATGTACGTGTTAAGTTCATATACACCCAATGACTCATAGAGATTGAAAAGAAATGTTAAGTGTTGGAACATAGCCCAATTAATTCCATGCTAGGTTCAACCCCAAGAACAACCGCAAAAACAGTGCTTGCTATTTGTAACACCACCACTGCTGGTAACAAGTGTTGGAACATCGCCCAATTCCAAGAACCCTTGAGGCTTGCTCAATCGCATCAACAGTGCTCACAGGAAGAATCCCTGTTTGCATCGACTAAGTTGGAAGAGCAGGTATCGTATGACTGACTGAATCAAAGTTATCATGCTGCCTGCTAGAGATAACCTTGTAGTTCTCATTTGTCACCCCAAAGTATATGATATAAATATGCTCCAAAACTGCACTGATTAGGCATGACCAACGAACGTATCCATGATCGATAGTGCTCAATCTGTTTGCTGCAAGCTTTGTAACAATCTTGTACACAACATTGCATAAACGTATCCATGATCGTATGACCTGACCCGAATTTCGTCACAAATTTTGGTTTCTTCACAAAATTTCGTCGAAATTTCTACATTGCAAATGACAAGAATTTCGTTACAAAATTATTTTTTCGTCGGAATACTTTTTGTCGAAAAGCAACAAAAATTTTTCTCTAATGAAAATTTGTACAAAAATAAATTTTCTATCGAAATTTAGTTTCCGTCAAAAGTTTTGACGAAAATGATTTCTTCCATCAAAAGTTTTAAACGAAAAAAAAATTCTATCAAAAATTTTGACGGAATGTTTTTCGTTCAAAATTTCGATGTGAATGTGTTCTGACGAAAATTCCAACGGAAATTGTTTCGGAAAAAATGTTTCATTTGAAACTTTCGACGAAATTTGGATTCTCTAAAGAATTTTGACAGAATATTTTTTCCGTCAAAATTTTTTATCGAAATTTTTTTTTACAGAAATGTGTTTCGTAGAAATTTTTGATGGAAATATTTTTTATCAAAAAACTTGACGAAAATATTTAGTTGAAAATTTTCGATGGAAGTGTGTTTCGCTAAAAATTTCGACGAAATTTTTTTTTTTTGTCAAAAAATTTAACGAAAATTTTTCCGTCGAAAACATTCGCCGAAATTTAAAATCTGTAAAGAATTTTGATGAAATTTTTTTCCGTCAAATTTTTTTGATGAAAATGTGTTTCGTCCAAATTTTCGATGGAAATTGTTTTGAGGGAAATGTTTCATTTGAAACTTTCGATGACATTTAAATTCTCTAAAGAATTTTGACAGAATATTTTTTCCGTCAAAATTTTTATCAAAATATTTTTTGTCAAAAAATTTTACGAAATTATTTTACAGAAATGTGTTCCGGTGAAAATTTTGATAGAAATATTTTTTATCAAAAAACTTGACAAAATATTTAGTCGAAAATTTTCGATAGAAATGTGTTTCGCTAAATATTTCGACGAAATTTTTTTTTGTTAAAAAGTTTAATGAAAATGTTTCCGTCGAAAACTTTCGCCGAAATTCGAAATCTGTAAAGAATTTTGATGAAAATTTTTTCCGTCAAAAAATTTCGATGTAAATGTGTTTCGTCAAATTTTTTGAGGAATATATGTTTTTGTGAAATATTTTGACGAAATTTAGATTCCGTAAAAAAATTTGACAAAAAAAATATTCCGTCAAATTTTTTTACAAAAATGTTTTTAGTCACAAATTTTGATGAAAATATTTTTCGTCAAAAAATTTTGCGAAAATTTTTTATGGAAATATTTTTCGTAAAAATTTTTGACGTAATTGTTTTACGTTAAAACTTTTCTTTTAATGTAATTGTGCTTTTCTTTTTTTTTCACATAATGTGTATGTGTCAAGTTTTGGGTCAATGGGTCAATATTAAAACAAGTCAGGTCTAAAACTGACCCAAATAAAAGTGGGTCAGTATTTAGACCAGTTCAAAAAATATAGATATTTATGGGTCAGGTCAAGGTCGGGTCAAGGACAGGGCAAATGAACCAGTTTTTTTGCACACCCCTACCCCACATCGTACATGGGTCCCCGTAGAATTAATTAGCTGCTGCGCTGGCATACATGAGTCTCTGTAGGACTATGGGCCTGCTTAATTTCGGCATTCACCGTTCTGTCCTGCTGATCTTTCGTTATAATCTTTTAAAAACATTAGGACTAAACATATAACATTTTGCCTGTAACAACTTTAATGATAGAAAAATTATCTTATGATAAGAATACAGGAAGATGACGGAAATAATTTACATGATTTAACAATATATAGCAGACAAAAGCACGAATCGAAGGTTATCAGGCTAAGGAATCATAAACCGTAGTAAAAAAAGCCAAACATAACAGCTCCAAATCGAAAGCAAATGCCTAAACTCAAACATTTATACTCTGGTTGCACACATTTTGAAACCATTTTAGATATCACCGTAAGCTGTGCATTCCACGTTTCCTAAAGAACCTTTACAAGAGTTTTATTGGACAATGGATGGATAACATACAAACTCATCTATAAATTATTTACTAATAGAATGAGAATGGTGATAATTAAACACCTGATCAAGTAATCAAGAAGGCTCCAATAATATCATATAATACATCTAATTCAATCCAAAAGAACCATTAAAGTGGTTAAGTGAATGTTATTTAATAATTTTATATATTGAGGAGAGATCTTTTGACTTCAGTGTAAGACTAAAAAGTTTTACTCTTTTGATTTCCTTTCATTTAACAGTTATAGTTAATTTATTGAGTTATACTAATTATTTATTTATTAATTCCAAATAAATTATAGTCGTTAGATGAATGAAAATTAACGACTGAAATAAAGAGTAAAACTTCTTAGTCTTACACTAGAGTGAAAAGATCACTTCTCTGTTATATTATATTTCTCTAATAGAAACTCTAATAAAGAGTGATTGACGTCATTGCTCCAGAATTTCAAAAATAATAACTCTTTTTTTGTGGATGTAATGTAGTTAGACTATGGTTGCACAAGTAAACAATAAGGAAATCTCATACTACATTTTTATTCTTTGTTTTTTTAAATGTGAATGGACAATTACAAGGAAAAGCATTTAAGATAAGAGGTAACATGAATATGGAAATATCACAAACATCTACTGGCATTAATTAGTAGCAATAGTATAATGGGGCCTCTACATGTTGTTTTTTCTTGGATAACCTCTATTAAATTCCAGAAGGGAAGAAACTTTTGATTAGATTAAGCTCCTTTCTGACATCAATCATACCCATTCTTTCTTTTGGTGATTCCATTGAACAAGCAAGTGCAATCTTGAAAAGTGAATGCAAACATTTTTCTACATTAGGATGCATAAGGCCAAGGTTCTCATTGTCAGTAGCATTTTCTTCATTGGTAAGAATAGTCAGGTCCACAATTCGCAAAAGGTGATTCGAAAGTGAACTTTTAACATAATTATGGAGATTGTGACCATCTTTAAACATTTCATCTGTGGGTCTCCTTCCTGTTAACATTTCTAAAATCAAAATTCCGAAGCTATACATATCGCCTTCAATTGACACCTCAGAACCCATTCCATACTCTGAAATGTAATTCAAATCAGTAAATGCCATTAAAGATATTAAAAAATTAACTCAAAAGGAAATAAAGGTCCATAAACATTAGCTAAAACTTGAAAATGAAAAATTTCACGACTTAACCAAACAATATTAGGGTATACCTGGAGGAGCATAACCAACAGTTCCCTTTATTCCAATTGTGCTACTTTGCGTCAGAGAGACTCCAAAACTTGAGAGCAATCTTGCTAGGCCAAAATCACTCACATGAGCTACCATGCAATCATCAAGAAGAACATTGCCAGGCTTCAGATCACAATGAATGACAACTTGCTCACATTCATAATGAAGATAATGTACTGCTGAAGCAACATCACTAATAATATTTAGCCTTTGCTCAAGGTTCAATGATTTGGGTTGATTTGCAGTATTTGCTGTAGGATGCAACCAACTTTCTAAGCTTCCATTTGTCATGTACTCAAAAACAAGAGCTTTAAATTCTTGACCTTTGAAATCTGTGCTAGAACAACATGTTAAAATCTTAACTAGATTTCGATGCCGGATATTTTTGAGTGCATTGCATTCAGCAATGAAGCTCTTGTGAACTCCCTTCTTTTGAAGATTTAGGACCTTTATGACAACAATTGTGTCTTCTGACTCAATAATTCCTTTGTACACAAAGCCCAAACTTCCAGATCCTATCAAGTTTCTTGTTGAAAACCCATCAGTTCCACTGTGTAGGTTTTGGTATGAAACTTTGGCCAGCTGGCCAATTGTTGGTGAATCTGAAGATAGTTTCTTGCTTCTTTTCCTCATCCAGTAGAAAGTGAGGATGAATGACAATATGAGAAGAAAAGCAACTACACTAACTATTGCTGTTATCAACTTGAAATTATGGTGTTTTGCATGTTGGTTACCTTTGACAGGGCATGGCGGTAGATGCAGCTCTAGCACACCTCCACAAAGCTTGTTGTTTCCAGTCACTGCTAACTCACTTGCATTTCTAAAGACACCTTTAGTTGGTACCTCACCATCCAACATGTTGAATGATACATTTAAGTATTCTAAGAAAGCAATATTCTGTAAAACATCAGGAATTGATCCAGACAAGTGATTTCGTGATAGGTCTAAATGTCGAAGACCTTTTAGTGAAGCCATAGAGGATGGTATGATTCCATGGAAGGAATTCCCGGCCAAATAAAGGTACTCCAAGCTTGAGCATTCTCCAATGGTTCCAGGAATATTACCAGATAAGTGATTCTCAGAGACATGAAGCTCATCAATATTTTTCAATTGGCCCACTTCATTTGGTAGATGTAACACCCCGTTCTAGAACCGGTTTGTTAACATCGCATTATGATATTAAGCGCAGTTACAATCACATGGGTTCAATTAAAATCCGGATAAATTTTTCATTTTAAAACATGCCGAATTTATAATACCCAATTTCGTGATCATAACCGTATTACCTTGCGGAATCAGATAAACCAAGCTTAACATCATGTTCTTATTCCATTTTTAAAACATTAATTTACTTCTTATTTATTTCCCAACTTCTACTATATTGTAGATCTCTTCGTTAGCTACGCGTGGTTTCAAACCGCTCCTCATTTGGAGCTCTGTAGCTCAAGTTATGACAATTTTACTAACTCAGTGTATGCTGAAAAACTACGCGGGTAGGGCGCTTAAGCTCGCTCCAGGGCGCTTAAGCGCCCACAGACAGAGGGAATTTACATTTTTTAGCCACCAAGGGCGCTTAAGCTCGCTCCAGGGTGCTTAAGCGCGCTACCTGGGCGCTTAAGCCCCCATTTTGGGCGCTAAAGCCCCATGCGGCAGAAAGCTTTTGGTCTTCACAGGTGCATCAGGGCGCTTAAGCCCCCTCATGGGCGCTTAAGCCCCCTGAGCAGGCTTAAGCCTCCATTTGCAGGCTTAAGCCCCCTCTTCTGGGCAATTTCCTATACTCATATTTTTCATGCATCTTTCTTGGGGAATCAATCCTACACATTTTACAACCTATTTAACAAGCTTGTGATATCCCTATATCATTGCTCAACTCTCATCCTCTCATCATTGATTTAACGGAAATTGGGCAGCATAATCTTTGTTTTCTCAACGTTTCCCAACTTAGCACAAGGTACCTAATTGACTTTCCAGCTCAACATATCCAATACATAAAAATACATTCATGCATTTAACTTACAGTAATCATCATACACATGCCAAAGGACTTAGCTACAAAATGAACATGATCAAAGCAAGTAACCCTGTATCAGATACCCATTACTACTACAATTCATGCACTAAGTCCTCCAAAATACATCATGTGGCATCAAAATATACATATAGCAATGCTAAATGGCATGCAACTCAACATGTCCAGCTATCAGGTACAGTCTACTCACGCTTCTTGCCTCGATCAACCTCACCTCTATCAGTACCTGAAATGATGCCCCACAACACGGGGTGAGATATACGAATATATCACAGTAAACCAGAGGTCCTTGGAGATCACTCCACCCTAAGGTTCACTTTGATGTACACATAATCATAATAGCTTAACACATTCTTATCCACAAGCATCACATGGACTTCCAAGAGAGATCCACTATGGGCTGTTTCTCTTAGGCTCTTACCACATGAGATCCACATATGTTTCCAAGGGAAGTCCTTTCCTCAATCTATTCCAAGAGAGATCCTCAAAGGGCTGTTTCTCTTAGGCTCTTACCACATGGAGATCCACATAGGGCTGTTTCCAAGGGAAGTCCTTTCCTCAATCTAGGAACCTCCAAGAGGGATCCACATAGGGCTGTTCCTCTTAGGCTCTAACCACATGGAGATCCACATAGGGCTGTTTCCAAGGGAAGTCCTTTCCTCAATCTAGGAACCTCCAAGAGGGATCCACATAGGGTTGTTCCTCTTAGGCTCTAACCACATGGAGATCCACATAGGGCTGTTTCCAAGGGAAGTCCTTTCCTCAATCTAGGAACCTCCAAGAGGGATCCACATAGGGCTGTTCCTCTTAGGCTCTAACCACATGGAGATCCACATAGGGCTGTTTCCAAGGGAAGTCCTTTCCTCAATCTAGGAACCTCCAAGAGGGATCCACATAGGGCTGTTCCTCTTAGGCTCTAACCACATGGAGATCCACATAGGGCTGTTTCCAAGGGAAGTCCTTTCCTCAATCTAGGAACCTCCAAGAGGGATCCACATAGGGCTGTTCCTCTTAGGCTCTAACCACATGGAGATCCACATAGGGCTGTTTCCAAGGGAAGTTCCTACCAATCATCCTCATCATAATACTATCACTCATAACCTCAATCACAATCCTCAACCATTACCTCATTCATTATTGCTACTTCTATAATCATTCCTCAATTACTCTTAAACAATCAAACATCAACCAATAATCATCAATCAATCATAACATGTATCAATGCATGAATCAATGCATGAGCATACAATCACTATCATAATTACATATCACATCTCATAAACCATTTCTCCTCAACGGAGTATGGTGGAACACTCAATGGGATCAACCACAAGGTCCAAAGGTTTACCTTGCTCTTGAGCTTTCCTCAATTGCACACAACCCCAAGGGTTGGTCACTCCACTTGGTCCTCTTGCCTCAATCCTATCAACACAAGGAATACAATCAAACAATGCTAACAATGCAAGGAAATCCATAGTTCCAAGCCTAGATTTCTCCAAACATCAAAGCATACTAAAATAACACTATAAACTCATTTCTACCGATTAAATGTCATTCCTAGCATTTTTCACAACATACTCTAAGCCTCATTCTTCCTTGAACATAGCCAATCTACTCAACATTTCATAAAAACCCTAAAACACTATTCATTAACCCTAAACTCATGCAAATCTCCAAGAATCATGTGAAAGAGAGTGGAAACTTACCACCAATGATCACACAATAGAGGAATGAGTGTTCCTCAAGCTTCCATGGAGGTTGAAACCCCCAAAACCCCAAAATCTCACAAAGGGCCGAATTTTTGAGGGGCAATATCCCTCTCCACAATGCTCCCCACTCAAAACTAAGCTTGGATTATGAAAGAGGGGAAGATTTAGAGTAGTTTAGGCTTTTGAATCACCCAAAACGGTTAAGATTTGCTCTCACTCTCTCTTCCTCCCTCCTTTCCCTTCTTCTTCTTTCTCCTTCTTCCTTTCCTCTTCTCTGATGCTCGACGGGTTGCTTGGGGGGGTTTGGGTTCTTTTGTGTTCTTTATCACTTAACATTGGTTAAGTGAAATAATGCGGGTATTAGTTCGTCTATCTATTCAACTCCATTAATTACCAAACTTTACCCAAAAGTCTGGAATATTATTCTAGGAATATTTATAATTTTATTTTTATATTTTGGGCACTTTTGCCAGTACCCATTTATACCCCTTAATTTTCACTGAGTACACTTTTTAACTCCAAAGTGACTCAGATTCATTTAATTAAGTCTTATACTTAATTTTATTCACTAAAACATGCTTAATTATTTAATTAAATTTAATCAATTAAATGCTTAAGTTTGGGATATTATATTCACCCCACCTTTTTAACGATTTTGTCCTCAAAATCGACAAAACCACTCATTCAATCATCTATGGATTTATCGGAGAACTCTTCTTGTGTTCCCGAAGTTACCCTATTAATAGGTTCCTCTTTCCCTCATCATCTTATCATAAGATGAAATGTTTCATTCATGATTCAATCTATGTTTTATAATTAGGTGATACTAATATGTTCAAGCACTTTTATCTTTCATTTTCCTCAAGGGTCATACCTATTCACTTGATATTTAACCCTGACCTTCTGCGGTCCTACTAATAACCTCATAAATAAAATCTCATCTGATGGAACTTCCAAGAGAGATCCGCTATGGGCTGTTTCTCTTAGGTATCTGACCACAAGGAGGTCCCGAAGGCTAACTCCAAGGGAAGTTCCCCTCAATCTAGACCTTTAATGAGAATTCTCTATCTCATAGGATACTATCCTCATGGAGGTAATACCACTACATCCATGGAAAGGTCATTGCATACAATTTACCATCTTTTAGCAATCAATACATAGTCTAGTCTTTAATTACTAGACATAACGAATCACACAATCATAATTGAGTTCACAGTCTAAGCATGTGTGGCTCCAACCTCAATAAACTATGCATGTCATATTAATCTACATGCGTCATACCTCCCGTCAAGTATGGGAACCTCTCTAGCTGGGGTTGGGTCGAAGTGCTAACATGTGCCGCTGCTGAAGGGTCATAGACCACTTGCACGTGAGCAACCCATCCCACAATCTGGGGACAATCCCTCGCATAGTGACCAGGTCTACCACACTTAAAACATACGTTCTGGCCCATCAAACAAACGCCCTTGTGATGCCTGCCACAATTGTCACACTTTGGCACAATAGGTCTTTCATTGTCCCAACTCTGTTGACTCCCGCTTCTTTTAAACTTTTCTTCAGACTGTCTAGCTTGTAATTTTTCTTTAATATTCCTGTCATCCATCTTCTTACCCTTTTCTGAAGTAGAGCCAGTTGCTCCACTAGCACCAGATGCTTGTGCCTCGGAAGACTTCTTACTTTTCAGCACACCATAAACTTCTTCCACCTTCCGGCATTGGTTCACGAATCTACTAAACTCTCGGATGTCACAATTTGACATCTTTCGAGACATCTTCTCATTTAGACCCCATTGAAATTTAGAGGTCATCTCGGCCGGAATGGGTAAGGCTCTCCCATAGTTAGCATATTTCACCAATTCATTGAACTTGGCGAAATATTGGTCAATTGTCATCGACCCTTGCTTGAGATCGTTATACTCATTCTGTTTCTGTTCCCTAGCCTCCCTAGGAAAATAGTTATCCAAGAACAATGTCTCGAACAACCGCCAGGTGATTTCCCGGCCTTCAGCTTCTAATGGCTGCACGGTATTGGTCCACCAATCTTCCGCTTCCTCTTCCAGCATATAAACAGAGTAGATTAACTTCATTGCGTCAGGGCATCTCATCACCCTGAATATCTTCTCCATAGCTTGGAGCCATTTCGCAGCCGCCATTGGCTCATAACCTCCCTTAAAAGAAGGAGGTTTGTGTTTTCGGAAAGCCATCAATCTTCTTTCTTCAGCTTCATGCTCGTCAACACGCTCAACACGTGGTTGACGGACCTCAGTGTGATGGCTATGACTATCAGAATGGTGGCTAGCCTCACCTTCATTGTTACCCGCTACACCCTCTTCCTGTGAATGAGGTGGAGAAGGCGTAGCAGTGTGAGGAGGAGGAGTGGGTTGCCGGTTCACGGGCCTAGGACCCCTCAACGTCCTCAACTCGGTCATCATCGCGGCCATAGCAGTCCGCGAGTCTTCATTTGTCTTTAACAAATTTTCATTGGCTTGCCTGCTAGCAGCCAACTCTCTCTGAACGGCTGCAAGAGCTTCAGCCACGGGATCAGGCGGTATGCCCGTTGCCCCACGGCCACTTCTGGGCCTCACAAGAGCAGCCAAAACAGGTTATGGCTGAGCATTGGTGTTTGATGGTCCGGGGTTGTTTCGGTGCCTCGTCATGTCACTACACATGTTACACAAAGAAGTGAGTTGATCAGGCCCACACTTAGTGATCACAAATGCAATAATCATCAAGAGTACTAAAACAACTAAAAAGCATCAAACACTAAGCATACTCAACAATAGCTAACAGTTATTCCCTACGAAACTGCTCTGATACCATAAAATGTAACACCCCGTTCTAGAACCGGTTTGTTAACATCGCATTATGATATTAAGCGCAGTTACAATCACATGGGTTCAATTAAAATCCGGATAAATTTTTCATTTTAAAACATGCCGAATTTATAATACCCAATTTCGTGATCATAACCGTATTACCTTGCGGAATCAGATAAACCAAGCTTAACATCATGTTCTTATTCCATTTTTAAAACATTAATTTACTTCTTATTTATTTCCCAACTTCTACTATATTGTAGATCTCTTCGTTAGCTACGCGTGGTTTCAAACCGCTCCTCATTTGGAGCTCTGTAGCTCAAGTTATGACAATTTTACTAACTCAGTGTATGCTGAAAAACTACGCGGGTAGGGCGCTTAAGCTCGCTCCAGGGCGCTTAAGCGCCCACAGACAGAGGGAATTTACATTTTTTAGCCACCAAGGGCGCTTAAGCTCGCTCCAGGGCGCTTAAGCGCGCTACCTGGGCGCTTAAGCCCCCATTTTGGGCGCTAAAGCCCCATGCGGCAGAAAGCTTTTGGTCTTCACAGGTGCATCAGGGCGCTTAAGCCCCCTCATGGGCGCTTAAGCCCCCTGAGCAGGCTTAAGCCTCCATTTGCAGGCTTAAGCCCCCTCTTCTGGGCAATTTCCTATACTCATATTTTTCATGCATCTTTCTTGGGGAATCAATCCTACACATTTTACAACCTATTTAACAAGCTTGTGATATCCCTATATCATTGCTCAACTCTCATCCTCTCATCATTGATTTAACGGAAATTGGGCAGCATAATCTTTGTTTTCTCAACGTTTCCCAACTTAGCACAAGGTACCTAATTGACTTTCCAGCTCAACATATCCAATACATAAAAATACATTCATGCATTTAACTTACAGTAATCATCATACACATGCCAAAGGACTTAGCTACAAAATGAACATGATCAAAGCAAGTAACCCTGTATCAGATACCCATTACTACTACAATGATCATGCACTAAGTCCTCCAAAATACATCATGTGGCATCAAAATAATGGCATGCAACTCAACATGTCCAGCTATCAGGTACAGTCTACTCACGCTTCTTGCCTCGATCAACCTCACCTCTATCAGTACCTGAAATGATGCCCCACAACACGGGGTGAGATATATGAATATATCACAGTAAACCAGAGGTCCTTGGAGATCACTCCACCCTAAGGTTCACTTTGATGTACACATAATCATAA